GTGGGTGCAAGAGAAAAAGCTCTAGGGCCAACTAGCTCATGGGCACTCTTTGCTCCCAGATCCATCCCCAGTCAGGTTCAGGGCTTCCTTGATGTTGGTCTGCCATACTGTCTGGACTTTTCTGCCCCATCGTAGAGATGCGTGAGTAATGATCACACTAGGGCAACATGCACAAGAAAAAAAGGAGTACGACTAGAAAATGCTGCCTGGTTCTCCTCCCTTCATCACTATTCCCCTCAGTGTGGACTCAGCCATTCATTTGCTATCTCTCCTGCAGCATCTCCTTCAGGGCTGGGTTTGGTGGTGAGAGCCTGTAGACTGTAATGGCCATCTTGTCAGGAACTGAGATTCTCCAGCAGTGGTTCCTTTGTCTTCATTTTCCTTGGAATTTGATGCCCCAGTTTTGCCCGGTTTTTTTTTTTTTTTTTTTTTTGAGGATGAAATCTATTCATTTAATAAATATTCATTGAGCACTACAGTTTGCAAGATCATTTGCTGAGTGTTGGGATAAAATGCCAAAGAGCCTTTCTAATCACTGCTTTCTCTGGAGTTAGCTATGCAAATCAACTTGGCTTTGCCCACAGTTCTTCAGCCTCTGAGTCATCACTCCTGCCAGGAACCAGCCTGGAGTCTCCTCCCCCATGATGTTTGCCAGGGCATGTTGTCTCCTTCAGAACTCTGCTAACAACTTACCTTCTCCCTGTCACCTTTCAGAATTATTCCTTTAGCCTCAGTCATTCAGCTTCCCATCTCCACGTTCATTGAGAGCTTCTGTGTGGAGTTATGAAGCTTATAAGGCATTTGGAAAAATGCCCACCTAAGAGATGGGTGGCCTGGTTTTTCCATCTTGCTCTGCTGCTAACTGGATGTATGATCTTGGATAAGTTACTTCACCTCCTGGGGCCTCAGTCTCTGACATCTGTGTGGGCCTTTGTTTATGACTGTACTGGCTTCTGACTTTTCTTGTAGTTTCCAAGAGTTCTTTGAAACATTAACTACATTTTACTTGTTGACTGGTGGTGGTAGCTCACTTTCAATTCTTATCATAAACCAAGAAAATCATTTTTATGCCTCTTGATATACAGGGCTGTAGCAGCTGGCTGCCTTCTACAATAAGCCTGATCTCAGTTTCTCAAAATTAACATAGATCAACACAATGTTAGGGTACTATTTTTCCATTTCTAGAAAAAAGAGCATATGTGGATGGTATGAACCTATACTGAAAGAGGGGAATGCACAAAATCATATTACTTTATTCCTTCAGACCACTCCAAGTATGTATAAGACAAAAGCCCTCAAGGACAGGACATGCAATTTCTAAGTTTGTCCTCCAGGTCTTTCTGGGATCCACAGCTACTTACACTGAATGGTTCAGGAGCGATCTTAGGGAGGCAATAGGTTCTTGAGATTCCAACGTTACCAGACTCTCTTAGCTACGGCTCAGTTCTAAAGAACTGCCTCCTGTCCTGCTTTCCCTCCCTACATATTCTCTGCATCAATCCCATCCTTCCCACTCATAGACCAATGTTCATCTGTCCATTCTCAGAGGATGCAGTGGTCCTCTGTCTTCTTTCTGTCACTGGATCCCATCATCTCCCAGCTCCCCAGGGACTTTATTCTATTTTTCTCCTCTTTCTCCTTTATCTTCAAATTCTTCCCCACCCCTGGTTCTTCTTTTCGACTTATATGCCTGCTCAGCTCTCACTTTAAAGCAAGCCCTCACACCTGCACACCTGCACTCCCTCACCTGGCTGGCACCAATTGTCTCTCCATACTTGGTACGTGTCACCTTCTCTCCAGGCCCATGCTTTTCTCTGTTCTTACGGCGCCCTGTGCATACCGCTAACCTAATACTTACTATACTGTGCTGCAGTTTATTTGTTCATACGTGTCCCTCCCACTTGGTTAAATATAACTTAGGACCTCTACTGTATTTTCTAACTATGGCTGGATTCCAATTGCCTTATATATGCTCAGTAAATGACTGCTGAATGAATAATGTAGAGGCGAACTCTAAAATGATGAATGTGTTATTTTGAGAAGTTGTTACCAAATCTAAATAAGGAACCTGGAATGGGACCATAAAATTCATGAGGTTTATAACCTCAAGACCCGTCTGCAGTGAGATCTAAAGAAGTAAGGTACTGTGATATATTACATTTAAAAAAAATTAAACAGGACTATAACTTCAATTTCCTCCCACAGAATTCACTTTAAAAAATTATATATAAAGTACTTATCCACTTAAAAAANAAAAAATTTTTAAATGTAGAAAGCAAAAGAGAGGAAAAATAACATGTAATCCCATGATAGAGATGACCTCTGTTAACATTTCCATGTATATTCTACTAGACTTTTTTTACTATGCAAAAAAGTATACTCATGTAAATGTATATATTTAAAATGGCATCATCTCATATATACTTTGAAAGCCTACTTTGTCACTTATAATGTGCCTCTTTCCATGCCAATAACAACATAACTACAATATTACTTTAATGTTGATGTGGGATAAGGCAGGTGAGGGTCGTGATGTTTTTAACCAGTCCTTTCTCTATTACTATGCATTTAGGTTGTTTATGGTGTTTCACTATTTCAAACAATTTTTCAACAGACATCTTTGTACTTACACATTGTTAGACCCACATGTAAGATAAAATTGTTATCGTATAACTTCGTATAATGTATTTTGAAGCACTTATCCTATTATTTGCTGAGGATGCATTTCTAATGATAAAAATCTCTTGGTCAAAAGATATGTTATATTTAAAGTTTGTTACATACTGCCAAATTGCTCTCCAGAAATTTGTACCAATTTACACATCCACCAGCAGTGTGCAAGAGTGTCTTTTCCCCGTACCCTCACCAACATGGGGTACGCTAATTATTCTCACTCTTTCTCAGTCTGATTTGGTTTCTCATGTTATTTCAAAATTTGCGTCTCAGGCCGGCCTGGTGGCGCACTGGAGAGTGCGCCGCTTGGGAGTGCGGCGGCGCTCCCGCCGAGGGTTCGGATCCCATGTGGAGACCGGTTCCCGCTCACTGGCTGAGCACGGTGTGGGTGCAACACCGAGGGTTGCGATCCTGTTGCCGGTCAGTAAAAAAGACAAAAAGGAAAAAAAAAAAGACAAAAAGGAAGAAAAAAAAAATTTGCGTCTCATTGATTGCTAGCTAGGCTAAACATATTTTCATTTCTTCATTGCTCCTTTTATACCTCTTTTTTAAGTTGTTTGTTTATATTCCTTGATCTCTTATATATTTGAAAAATTAGGGCCGACCCCGTGGTGCACTCAGGAGAGTGCGGCACTGGGAGCGCAGCGACACTCCCGCCACGGGTTCGGATCCTATATAGGAATGGCCGGTGCGCTCACTGGTTGAGCGTGGTGCGGGTGACACCAAGCCAAGGGTTGCGATCCCCTTACCCGTCACGAAAAAGACAAAACAAAAAAAAAGAAGAGAAAAATTATACAGATATAGATATAAATATGTAGGTATATGGATACGAGCCCTCTTTCTGCTGAAAATGTAATACATATTTTTCTTAAATTACTACTTGCATTTTAAAGTTTTACTTGCAGTATTTTAAAAACTTTTATTTTACTATGCATGAAGTTGAAGTGTTTCCCCCCATAGTTAATCCATTTTTTCCTTCAAGGTTGTTGCCTTAGGTGCCCTCCCCACATGAGACAGAGATTATCAGCTGCCTACCAAAATCTTTCTCTTCATCTTTTTTAGCAAAGGAACGTTGCTGCCTGAAATATGCTACCAAGCCTCCTGTGCATCTGGGTGTGGCCAGGTGACCAGTGAGGGTCAACAAGTTAAGTGTTGTTGTGCGACCTGGGGCAAAGGTCCTCAAGAATGAGGAGTTGGCCTTTCTTTCTTCCTTGTTTCTGCTGCCTAGAAGGAAATAGCTGGAGCCCTGGCAGCCTTCTTGGACCACTTCCATCCTGAGGATGAGCGCCAAGCTTGGCATAGGGAACAGAGAGAAGGAGCCTGGAGTCCTGATGATGTCACAAAGCTGTCACATCAGCCTCCCTCTGAACTTCTTTTATGTGGGAGAATAATTTCCTGTAGTCAGGCCTTGGATAAGAGCCACCCTGACTCCTGAAAGCAATTCCTAACTTATATACCAACTTAAGGTTATATCAATGTTTACTTGAATTTTCTTCTAGCTATTTTCATCTACTGTATTATCTCTATGTTTTCAGATATATGACTGAAAAGATATATAACCAAGATTTAACAGTGTGTATAAAATAATTATGTTTTGGTAGAAGCTTCTTCAAAATGATGATTGTTAGACCCACATGTAAGATAAAATTGTTACATTGAATTTTAAGGAAGGATCTTAAAAATTATAGTTTTATTCTATATACGCATTTTTTTTGGAAGTCAGACCAATGATCTTGACATGGAATTCTTTTATAAGGCAGATCTTGAGAAACAGTATTGATATCCATTTTCTTGGCTAAATCATGGGCTTTTTTCCTGAGAAGCTAATTTTCTGAGGATATGACTATAAAATGCGAGACTTTACATCTAGTTGGAAATTTTTCAATGAAGATAATTGAATATATGTCTAAATTTGTGTAATAAAGAGCTAGAGTAGAGCAAAATTTTACTACAGTTTCATTACAAAATTCATTCAGAATTATGTTTTAAATTTGTAAAAATTAGTCAGATATTAGTGTTCAATTTAATGTAACCAATATTTTCTTAACTAACATTTATTAAGCACCTGCTATGTATTTAATCTCACAATGACCTGCAAGACAGGCAATATAATTCCTTTTTTAGAGAGGTAGAATTTAAAGCTAAGAGTTTTTAATTCACTTGGCCAAGGCCATTCATAGGCTGATTAGAAAAGAGCCTCTGAAAGCTGCTGACTCCAAAGTCCAAACTCCTGACTACTCATGCCAGACCCTGCTCTGGGATTGCAGGACAGAAGAAATGATTGAGACAGTTTCCACAGGCAACGTTAAAGAAAAGTTGGTACTTACCTGCCCCACACAGGTCCGTTATGTTAATATGAGTGGGAAGGGAACTGCCTTTTGAGTTGGCTGCAGACACAGCCACAGCCCAATTCCCAGTTCTGGGAATGACCCAGGTCCACGAGCTGTGTCCCGTGATATCCTGCAGTGTGGTGTTCTTCCCTGTCACCTCCTGCAAGGTTACCCGATAATGTAGGATTTTTCCTCTTGCCTCTGATATACTCAGGTTCTGCAACAAAACACATCCACTTACTGTTTATTCTCAGAGAAGATGGTTGGGTGCTCTGTGCATGGATCTTGTGACCCCCTGCTGCAGGTGGCTACATCCGAGTGACTTTTTTATTTACATCTTCTCATCTCCTCCACTGCACTGCATACTTTTACATAACCACCCCCCCCATGCCATTTAGGGGGGAAAAACAGTTAACATTTTTAAAAAGATAATTCTTAAAAACACCTTGATTTTCTGTTTGTGCTTCAAAATGAAACATACTAATAGTAAACAATTTGATCACATCCAATGGAACAAGCATGGAATCTGAACTCAGAAGATCTAGATCTGAGTTTCAGCTCTACAAATCATCCAGACCGGGTAAGGCACTCAACTTCTCTGAGCCTCCATTTCTAAATTTGTGAAACACACACACACACACGTATAACTTTTCATATAGAAAGTGCAATGCTGCTCAACACACCAAACAAGACTTTCAAGAGCTAAACTAGTAAAATCTATACTTAGTGAATTAAATTAGCCATCTGTGCTAGGAAACTAAGACACTGTTCATAAATGTGTGACTAACAGGTTTTGGAACTGCAGAAATTCCAGTTGAGATCATTTGGGAGCAATCCCAGAAAGTAAGCAGAAGACTAATTATTTGCAATGTAACCCTGTCTGGACAAGGACCATTGCAAACAGAAGCGTAGAAAATGGAGAGCTGTCAAGTCTAGCATTGGCACCACCCATCCGTGCCTAGTGCGGGAAGAAGAAAGCTTGGCTCACCAGACTTAAGGGCTACGGTTTTCTTGGCAATGCTGTCCCTTTCATTAGTGGGGGGCCTCCAGCTGCCATTGCTGAAAGACCTATCTTAGGATCAGCAAATGCCCCTTGCTCTGGTTCCCTGCACCTCAAGCAATCTTCTAATAATTTGGTTTCCTATATAATACAGTTTATTTGTTAAAAGAGGCTGGGCTAACATGAACATCTGGTTCACTTAAAATTTGTGTTTTTCACTTTAAGTTAATAAATTGGCCTTCTGCTTATAATTTGGCTTCTGAAACAATTAAAGTACTGGGAGAGAATGTTCCTATTTGCTGACTCAAGCCTCTGATTGGCCCCACAGCTGCATTTCTCACTATAAATCAATCTATGAGCATTCAGCTTTTTATATTTTAGTTTCTGGGAGCTTGATTAACATAAGTACATTCTGGGGACCCTTCTCAATCCACATGGCCCAACACGGGATCTGAAACCATCTTCAGTGCCCCAGGTGAATGCCACATTTCTCGGGCCCCTTTTGGGTGAACATTCAGCCTTTCCCTAAATTAGCATTTCAAACATCCAGTTGTGTGGATTAAAATAAGCAAGAGCTTTTTAAAGCATGATGTTCTAAACTGTTATTAATAAGCATGCCCTTTGTCAAAGGAGAAGAACAGGACAAATTAAAGCAAAAGCTTGTTAAGGAAAACTATTCCCTCAGCTATCTCTCACTCCATCTTCTCTGTAGGTCCAGAGGTAGGACTATCATCCCCACCCCCACCCTAAGCAACTCCCCAAGAGTTAACTGGGCTCACAAAGCTCCCCATTCTCACCAGGGACCTAAGAGGCTTCAGTCCTTCTCTTAACAACTAAGGAAATAGTCCTGGTTGGTGAAAAAAACACCTTGCAAACCAGCCTTTATTATTTCCCTCTCACTGTCCTTCATGACATCCCAGAAATCTCTTTCAACGTAATGGTAAAGTGCCGAAAGAAGAGAAAATGTTATCTCAGAATCGAAGAACTTGCATAGTGACTTCTGTGAAAATCTAGCTGATCACAACAATCTAGTAAATAGAGGCGTGGATCTGAAGGATCATGAAGGTTCCAGGGGGTAGTGAAGGGCTTGGACCCAGACTCTTGCATTTTCTCCTCCTATCCCATATTTTAGAGTAAAAAATATCAGTTAAAAGGTCGGGGTGGGGTGGAAGTAGTTGGACAAGTAAATATGGTATCCCATGGGTTATGCGTCTAAAAAAATGTGAAGCTCAAGTTTGGGGATAAATGTTATCCTCTCTCAGGTAATTGGTCTCCTTAACCAAATTGGAAAACAGACCTAACTGGTCCAACAGGGTTCATGGAACAAAAAATTCAACGAACAAATAGTAAAACAGGTATTTAGCCAGCAGGACACTTAGTCCCCTGAAGCAATTAAAAACAGTATCATTAGTTTGGTTAATAAAGCGTAGCAGGGCCAGCCCTGTGGCTCACTCATGAGAGTGTGGCGCTGGCAGCGCCAAGGCCGCGGGTTCAGATCCTATATAGGGATGGCCGGTGTGCTCACTGGCTGAGCGTGGTGCATAGGACACCGAGCCGAGGGTTGCGATCCCCTTACTGGTCAAAAAAAAAAAAAAAAGCATAGCAATATAGAGTTTGCAAATAGTGTGTGTAATCCATCACTCCTGGATTATGCCTGGCCCTGATGGAATGGAATATCATTGAAGAACCACCAAACCCATCTGTAGAAGGGATTCTACAGATTAACAACTAATGTTTCATTCAACAGGGTCCCAGGGACATGAAGTGACTTGCTCAAGGCCACTCAAGGGAGAGATGGAGAAGGTAGGAATTGAATCTAGAGCTCTCAACTTCTAGACCAGTGTTCCCCCGTATTATGATGTGCTGCTCCTTAATACTGTCAAGCCTGAGACAATGAACCGCCGAGGTATAAGCCGCCGAGTTTATAAGTTTATAAGGCTTATACTGCCAAGGTATTAGCAACCGAGTTTCATCATTAGAATCTCCAGTCACTCTTCTGGCCAGAAGTTGCAAAGCGACTTCTCTAATTGTGAGGTTGTGGTATATTCTGATGTGCAGCATCAACAGCAGTCATGAGTTCAGCAATTTTGGGAGGGTGGGGACCCATAATTCTATTTTATCCAGAGCCAGCAGAGTGAGTCACCAGGAGACAAGCTGTGAACACAGGACTGTAGGCTTGAAGAGCCAGCTAACTCTTCCCAGATGAACTTACTTACACTGTAGTGCTGCTTATTTGGGTGGGTGATAAAGGAGAAATTAACATTTGTTGGGTCATACCATGAGTCAGGAGCTTTACATCTATTGTCACATTTAGTTCTTATAACCCCCTATTCTGATGAGCTTCTTCAGGAGAGCTTGGAGAAGTTATGGAACTGCCTCAAATAGACCCACAGAAAAGTAATGTGAGATTTTAGAGTGCCCTCTGGTGGATGTGACGGAGGAACCCTATCCGGCAGCATGGACCTGATACCTCTTGTACCTTCACCGGCAGTGGTCAGAGTGGCTCTCAGGCTGGTATTCCTACTGTCATCGTCACCTGCTCCTATTGGTAAGAATCTGCTAAAAAGGAAAAGCTGTCTTATTGTCTCTCTCCTTCAGTTTTCTTTCTGCTCTGTCCTGTGGGAAATGATTTAAACTTAGTAAGGAAAGCCTTTCTCACTTAGGTTTGTCTGAGAAGTAAAGCATGAACAGCTCATCAGTAAACCTATTATGAGTTCTGCTGCCTGAAAAGGCTTTCAGCTTCAAAAATAACTTGGTGAATGTAACCCATGACAGGACAAAATCTGACGCATTTTACAATACAGTGCATCTGTTTTTATTTTTTAATTAAAAATCTATTAAAGGAAGGGCATCTCTGGGAATTGAGTAATCATTTCTTAAGAGTTAAAAAAACTTACTGTACTTGTCATAAAGTAATGCTTTACTTCTGAACTTCTCCTGATGCCGATAATAATAATAGTAAAAATAAAAACGAGTTACAGTTTAGCTTATATCAAAGAAGTTCAATAATCAAAACCCCTTAGAAAGCAGGGGAATTTGAACACTTATTAGTCACAGCATTTCTTTCTTTTGATTTTGGCTTTGGAATACTGCTGGCTTCGGTTTTCTTATTACAGGGCAGATCCTTTGCTTTCTTGATGCACCACACAGCAGCTGTGTGACCTTGGGCAAGTTATTTAAACTCTCTGAGCCTCAATTTCTTTATCTATAAAATGAAGATAATTCTATTTTCAGCATAGGCTTATTGGAGCATTCAGTGAGCTAAGAGAGGTAAACTGTTTCAAAGAATGCTTGGCTCATGACAGATGTCAAGACTCTTGGTGAGTTCCGTTCTCTCATATACTCTAAGTAATATAAAAATCATCACGATTGACACTTTTCCTATACTGCTTACACGACTTTTGTACCAATCTTTGGAGAGTGAGGCCATCTTGACTCAGCATGTACTACAGCTCTATATGAAAATCTCACCGCCATACAGTTAATTACAAAGTACATATAAATCACGAGTTTAAACCTGGGTACCTTGATTTCAGAATTCATGAATGCCTTCAGCAACCCCAGCTCAAAATGAAGAAATGACCCAAAAGACAACCCTCACCTGGAAGTTTTAAAAATCATCTAATGATATTTTCTCTCTACGGATCTATCTTCCTGCTAGCCTGCCAGCTCATCTTCACGTCCTCAGTGTCATGCACATTTTAATTACCTCATAATGGTAATTTATCAAACGCTTTTCACAATAATCTCATTAATCTTCACAACAACCTTATGTGGTGTTTTCTATTATTATCTGCACTTTATTCATGTGGAGAGTAAGGCACAGAGAGTTAACCACCTTGCTCAAGAACACACAGCCATTAAGGAGGGGAGCTGGGACTTGAACCAGGTAGTACAACTCCATCTAGAGGATGAACTCTTAACTACCAGACAATGCTAGCACTTTGCAGACATTCCCTAGGGGTTCTACACTAAAAGGATTTAATTGATAGTCAAACCTCATGGTAGTTACCCTGGCATAATGATTTCTATCTTGTTTTGCAGCTAGAAAAACAGAAAAATAAGGGAAACTTTTAAGAACATTTTGTGTGTGTGTGAGTTTAATTCCCCTTGCATCTCTGCTTTCTATCTTCTGTTAATTCTCTGCTATTTACTCTCCTGTTTTTGTCACTGGCTACATTCTGCTATCCAACCAAAATTCCCTACATTTCAGCTGG